CTCGGGGCAGATTTTGAACCCATTTCAAGAGAATGTCACATTGGTGCCCCTTATAACGATCCAGTTGAGTCGCAAGGGAGATAAGGTGACCTGGGTAAAGGTCATTGCTGAGTGAATGGCAGGACTGTTGGGACGAGCCAGCTGAGACATCAGCTAGCCTTCTGCTGAGACCACTCCTTTATCACTTTCAAATACTACCAAAAGATCCTGAAACGTTGCAGCACATTTTAACCTACAGGGCTCCAGCAGTATAATGCAATCTTTGATATTTTCAGATTTCTACAGCAAAATGTTCCACACTACTGACAACACCTTTCCCATCACCGGCTGAACACCATTCAGCTCTCTAAAAAACATCCCAAAATCAAACTCAAGCCCTGGCAATGCATAGGGCTGCTGACACCAGGGCATGCACATGGCAGCTCCCATCCCCCAGCACAGCAGCCCCATTTCCCATGCCCTCTGATGTCTGCCCACAGGCAATGCTGAGCAGCAGCTGTACAGAGGCTGCTAACAGACTTCTATGAGATGTGGAGGACCCCCACCCCACAGTGGTGCACACAAGGTCAGCTAGGAGCTGCCTCCTGTTGGCAGGATGGGAGCACCAGCAGCAGCCAAAGGGACTGCATCTGTCACAGCCCCTCCATTCCTCTCTCAGAGAAGTGACCATCCATGGCACTTGTGATGGGGACAGCATCAACCCGCACTCACCTGCTGTGTTTTCATCTTCTGTTGGCACTGAAAATGCCACCCAGAAAGGGCTGAGACCGCCTGTCTGCTCCTCATTAGCTGCGTAATTCAACACAAGTCCTTATTTTCTTATTATACAACGTCAAAGATGTGCTCACCATCTCTCTGTGGTTAATTTTTTTCCCCCTTCCTTTGTCTAAAGACAGCTGAAATAATATAAAAAAGGATTCAGAAAACAAAAGGGAAACCCTTGGGTTTTTTTTTTAAATATTTTCTAAGCCTGAACCAATTTCTGGAAGCAATTGGCAAGCTGGCTGCCACTTTCCTTCCAAGGACAGCATCCTGCAGCTTGGGCTGTGCAAAAGAAGATATGATACAACAACCACTGGTGTGCAGCCACACAGAGCTGTCAGACCACGCTGGCCACGCTCACACTCTGGGGCTGCTCGTGCTCCAGTGACACCATCAGCACAGATCCGTGAAATCCACGAAGTCTATTGGCACGTACCAATGCTAGCAGTCCTACGCTGCAGCTCAAGCTTTCAGCACACCCCAAGAGCTTGTGAACCAGCTGTTTGGTCAAGTTAAGCCCACAGAAAGCAGACAAATAAGATGGCTGTGAGTCTCAACAGACCGGAACCGGGCAGCAAAGCAAGGCAGGCGCCAGGCTGTGTGCCCACACACTGCAGCCTCCCATCACAAAGCAGAGACGTGCTGCCCTTTGCTTGGCTGCATCAGATTTGGGCAATTTCATGGGGCTTAGGGAAGCCCGTCTGGTACAAAGGATGCTGGCAAAGGCTGCTGTACCTCAAGAAGAGCACACGGAAGCGTGGCCTTTCAACAGCCTTCTCCGGGCCCAATGGAGCTCCACAACCAGTGGGGATTTTGGCAGGGCTGCAGCCAGCCTGGCTATTTATAAAAGCAAATGAGGGGGACAGATTCTGTGTCCCAAGGCTTACAGTTCTCTAAAATACAATGAGACCATAAAGAAAACAGACGTCAGTTGTGACAGCAAAAGGCTGAATTATCAAGAAACCTTCAAAACAATCAAAATCACTAAAACTGATAGGAAATTGCTGTGCACGGGGGCGTGAAGGGGAACAACCTTCAACTGAGCGCTCACATATCTGGGGGGTTTTATGTGCTTGTTTCTAACACAATTCCCCTTAATTCAGCCTCCAGGTTGGAGGCACAGAGAGGTAGGACCAGAATTCTTCTGGCCACGTATCTACATGTGGCATTTCCTGACCTTTCAGTATTTGATTCTGAAACCTATTTACATTTTTGACGTAGGTGTGTTTGTGGGTTTTATTGGGGAATGCCAACAATTTTCTGCATGTAGGAAAGAAGAGAAATCATTAAGAGCGACTGCATGAGTGCTCTGTGTTCATCCCAAGGTCCCTCCCTCCACGTCCCAGCCAAACTTTCCTCACAGCACAAGCTTCTTATTCAGCTTTGTTTGGACAAAGAAAGATAAACCACTGTTTTGCATCGCCCTCCCCCCGTCATTTATACATCAGCTGCATTTAGCATGGTATTCTCCACTCCTCGTAGGAAAAAGAGAAAACATAATTTGAGAAATAATTATTTTTGACCACGCTGAGTTGTTGACTCTGTAAGCTGTTATGAAGAAGTTAAAATAGAACGTAATTATAAATCATTGCTAAGCATCCTGCAAAGGCAAGGACATTTAATTGTGTCCTTGTATGACTGCAGTCGCTGTACACAACTAATACTCCTATTTGCAGGCACAGAAATAACTGGCTCACTCAGCCATACAGAAAGGAAGACATAAAAGGAAACCAAAGCCCCAACGAGAATAAACCACTGGAAAGTTTTATGTCAACAAAGCTGAGTTTAAATTAAGTAACATCAATTCAGTATTTTGACTGTAAGTGAATCAGAACATTAAAGCATGTTTTGAAGGGATTGCTTGTGATGAAACTTCTGTGACTGGATCCTGCACTAAGTGAAACTAACAGGAAAGTTCCTACTGGCTTCTTCTGCGTGGCACCAAACCCACATAGCAGTTACTTTTCCAGCTTTAATGCTCATTCTGAAAATGAGAACAGCAGCAGAATTGGCAGGATAAATGCCAAATAAATGCCAAATAAATGACTTACCAGTTACAAGACAGTGGCAAACACAGCACCGATCCATCATGTTGCATATGAGTGATGAACTAAAATCAAAATTCCATAAAGATTTTCCATTCTTATGTTTGCTAACTTTCCAAGTGCTGCCTTTGCAACTGAAGTCCCTTTCAGTATTGCTTTTTCTGCTCTGCCTCAGCGGCAAAAGTCAAAAACAAAACAAGCAGAGCAAACCCAACCAACCAAAGCCCACCAAGCCCCAGCTGAAGTGCATTTCTGTACTGCCTGAAAGGGTGGGAGATAAGTCAAGAGTCACCTTGAACCAAAACACAGCAGAACTATTCTCCAGTAGGAGGAAATAAGGAAATAAATTACATGCCCAAACAGCCACAATATATCCCTTCCGAATGAGAAGAGAATTCATTGACTCAGTAATTTTCCAATGATGATAACAAATTAAAACTGTGGAGACAGTGGAGAGCCAACAAGATATACAACCCACAGCCAGGATCAGTCAAATTAAAGGGAACTTTTCACGTCGTCAGATACTGAGTAATTAGTGCTGTCATTAGAAGCACAATTCCAGCTTTAAGCAGTTTTGAGTAATTAATGTTCCTTTATTTTGCCTGGAAGCCCTGACTTCAGCACTCTCTTCAGACAGGATCCTTACAGCTGGAGCTCCACAATGCAGATTAACCCAACAAGAAGACGATCAGAGCCGGCAGATGAAGACACAATTAGTCAGACTGTCCATGCACACTGTTACCTCTCGCCTGGGACTCAATCTTTATTAACACAGCAGCCATGGCATGGAAACCCAGACACGATTCTGCCCTGTCTGCAGCCATAAGATAGTCTAGGCTACAAACAACATTAACATCTGCAAACTCTACGTGACCAAAGGATGGAACAAAGTGAACGAAGTGATGGGTTGTGTCTGCCTGCACAGCTCTGAGCAGCTGCAGGAATCCCATAGCTGCAATTACCCACCCCATCATGTAAAAAAACACATCACGGAGGAAATCCTGATAAATATAATCATCAAGCAATGTAGATTTCTAGATTAAAATCCTAAGATGAGCAGGAAGCAGAAGCGAGAACAACTCTTCTCTGACACCCAAAATGCAATTATAAAATCCCAGCAAGACACTTAGAAAACTTCACCCCTTAGAATTCATCTTCTCTTCTGACGGAGAGAAAAAAGCATTGGTTTCTGCTTGGGCTAACAACAGGTCTTCTTTGGTTGGAAACCTCACCTTCAAGAAGCCCAGATCTTAAGTTATTTGTTACTAGGAATACATTTCATACTTCTGAAAGCTTGTAATAACCTGTGACTGTGAAGGCTGTCAAATCCACTCAAATGCTTCTTACTGAAAAATTAGGCCAGCATATCCAGAGATTCTCCCCTCCTTCATCCATCCACATTAAAGCAGTAATTCCCAAAGACAGCCACTCTTCTAAAATACACATTCGATAAAGTTGTTGGTAATACAGCATGAACAACATCTGCAGGAAGATTAAAGAATCAGGTCAAGAACACAGAATTGAATGTAAGTGTTATTAAATCATAAGCCAATACTGCAACATTTGAGTGATTGATGTCTTTGGTTCTCACTTGAAAGCCTCACTTTTAGCACATCCATAGGAGATAAATGCCCCATGTCAAGGCAAATGAACGCAGATTTACTCTTTTGGACACCAATTACAGAGAAAAATGAAAACACAGCATAGGCAGGCGGCACTCAAAGTGTTGCTGTGCAGCACTTCTCATCACGGGGTGAGTTTGGGCACAATCAGATGATTTCACTACGCATGGTCAAAAGATCTGAGCTGTTCCCATCTGTGCATTATCTGAGTATCTAAACAATTGCTGCAAAGCACTGAAAACCTTTGAAACAGACAAGGAAAACTAACAAAGCTGATGGTATCTCCTGATTACTGTGTGAAGTACTAATAAGGAACTGTGTTATACAACCCGTGCTCAACAGACTGAAAATGATCTTTCCCAAATCCAAATGACACACTTCTGAAGCTGAAAGTGACAGACTGCAGCTGGCTGAGCAAACACTGCACTGTATGCTAATGCTACAAGCTGCCATTGTAAGGAGCCTCCAGGCTTTCTGTTGGCTGCTCTGCTCTTCTTGTTAAGAACTGCAAAGCTCCTCTTACTGAGCAGTAATTAGACAGAGAGTTGGAGAAAAACTAACAAGAGAGGTGTATTTTTCCAAAGATAAGCAGTGAGATTGCTTTTAATCAATGCAGCATGTCTATGGATCATATATGGTGCTCAGTTTTGACTTCATCACCTCAAAACATGATAAATACTTGTAGCTGAAAACACGAGTACAAACTCAGAAAATGCAGTATTCAGATTCATTGTCAAAATATGTCTTCACAACGAATTTGAAGTATTGCACGTGATGTTCAGTGCTTCTTTCCATCAGACAAGCACCGAGACACAGAACCGCTCTCAAGACAGCAGCTGCAGAACCTGGCGTATGCGCTCGCACTTCTCCATCACGGTTGGGTCTTCTGCATCCGATCCATCCAGTTCCTGCATCAGAGCTTCAGCTTTCTGCACAGTTGTGTCTCGTGCACTGCCCTTAAGGCCCTGCAGATAGTCCAGTAAAATGGTGAAATGCTCATCTGGAACCTGTGAAGAAAAAAAAACCACAAGGAATTAAAAATACCTGCTTTGTTTTCTTCTCTTTCAATGTTCATCCACAGTCATGTCAAAGCATTACCTGAAAGGTGGTTAGGTGAACTGCACAGCCTTTTGCATCAGCTGATGCCCACCTTCAAACGGAAGAGTTTCTTGCCAATGCTCAAACTGCTAGGAAGGACAGATTGCAGTGAGAGAAGTGTTGTGGGCTCAGATGGGCAAAGCATCTGAGGGGAAATGCTGAGCAGATGTGGAATTGATGGTCAGCAAACGCAAGCACTGCCTGAGAGAGAGATCCAGCTGCTGGAAGGGAAGAAGCATACTAGCCAGATCCTAGTTTTGGAAACATGTATGCAAACCTTACCAAATTCAGGAGAATGGCACGAATGTGTCCAAGGAAAGAATTCTGTGCAAGTATCCTCACTCCTACCCAAAACCATTTGTTTGCTACGATGAGATACCACCCAGCAGCACACAACAGATTCTCACTTTGACAGAATGCTTACACAAAGGAATTGGATGTAATTTGAAAAAATTGAGACATATGGAAATCATTTTTAAATCACGCTGACTAAAACTGATGCACTCCTTTAACACATCAGACATCAAAAGCAGTTTAGTTATCTGCTGTCGCCTTACCCCCGTTTTACTTCCTTTCTAATTAACCAGTAAAAGATTAAATTTTAGCTTGTCTGGTGCAACGTACAACTCCATTAAGAAATCCTGGCAACAACCTCACAAAGACTTCTGATGATTCTGCAGTATTTTGAACCAGCTTGCTGTCAACAGCGTTCGGTGCACAGATCTGTTTGAGGCATTTCACCTTGTGTATCTGTGGAACTGGTTGGAGCCAATGAGAGAATATTTTTACCATGAATCAGGAGATGTGACAGTGACCTCACCCTGCAAATATGTTTCTTTGTTTGACTTTGCACACACAGCATTGCAAGGCGTACTCAGCGTGAGCAAAGCTGAACACATACGTAAGTATTTAAAGGCCTGGAGTCATTGCACGAGGGCTGCTCCAATCCTGTGCAGTACTGACACAGCAGAGAAGACAGAGCTTCAACAGACACTTAATTTACAGCTTATTTCTGCGGCGACATTTGGCAGCACAACTGTGATCACTAAAACTTCTATCGCTCTCAAAGAAGAGGAAGAAAAAATACTCCAATGCTGCCTTAATCAATAGGGGATATTACAGAGCAGTGAATCAAAGGTGCAGCCTGCACTCATCTTCGTAACTCATGCCCTATGAAAATCTTTATGGACTTCACACAAACACTCCTGTGCTAAAGAAACAGTACAGATAAAAAAAATACTAACTTTATAATGGCTAACACTGAAACTGATGATACACGAAGTGTGGCTGTAATATAAAACCAGCACACTGAAAAATAATGGAAAAACCCCAACACTTTTAGAACTGCTTTTACTCAAGGTAAACACACGCTGCTAACAGAGACAAATGCTGAGATGCAAACAGTGTCAGCACGATGGTCCTCCAGCACAGGTCTCAGCACTGGGTGTTTAAAGCTCAGCCACATTTCTGTGCTCCACCTTGGCTAAATTAACTGCATCATTTGTACCCCCTGTGGCACAATCACAGCTCACTGCGTGCAATCACAGTTAGTTGGATTGGTTTGGGGGGTTGCAATGTCAGGGCCTGTTGGTGAGATTTTAGGAGCGCTGCCTGTCTTTAAGCTCCCAACAGGGAGGGCTGAAATCGGGTACTGAGGTGGCCCATCAAAGTGCTGGCAAGCGAAGTGATGCCTACAGGATCTCACTGTGGTTGTTGTAACCCATTTTCCCTTTTTCTTGTTTCTTCTCCCTTGCTCACCCGCCTTGCCTCTGCCTGACTAACTAACGTGACCAACTAACATGCATTGGAGCAGACTAACGTGGAAACAGCCAAACGTGACCCAATAACCACCAGCCCCTGAATGCTCAGGAACCATGAGACACCATGAAAATGGGGAAATGGTAATGAATAACAGCAGGGAAAAAGCAGGTATTGCTTGTCAATAACCTGGCTTTTCTCATCAACTTCTGCAGGAGCTCCACAACCCAGGGATGTGCAGCCCAGAGGCCGAGGACAATCGATGCAGTTACTTGCTGACAGTGCTGTGCCAAAGGACAACCAGCAACAGGTGATGCAGCATTCATTCAGTACAGGATCACAAAGAAGTGCACACACTGTAGGTATGCAGTCCTGAGCTCTGAAGCCTTCAGCCTACAGCAGATGGATTTTAAAGGCACTTAAAAAAATCGCTTTGTAAATGACTAGAAAACCTCTCTTTATATCTTACAGAAAGAAGAATATCAGTACAGGAGACTTAATTTAGCTCTTGGCATGGCTTTTCAGTAAGAATACAAGTGACACCAAGAGATCAAAGACGTGGCTTAGGAAGGAAGTCTCCTTTTGTACTGTAGCCATGCTCAGATATCCGACGGATTTTATTCTATAATGGACAGGAAATCAGATTTGGGTATAAAAATACAGGCAAAAGCAGCCCTGCCTCGTCCTGACAATGAAAAAGACTTCATACATGCTTGATCATGAGCACTTGAGTGGCTCTGCTCATTGTTCTGAATCTGAATGCAGATGTTAATCATTATCTGTAGCTCATATACAACGCATCTTTGATTATTAAACAGTACAAAATACTGTGAATTTAAATAAATCATTATGCTTTCATCATGTGAAAAAAAACACAACCCACAACAAAACTAGAAAGGAGGTTTTCATTTCAGTGTCACAGAATAGGGAATGAAGCTTGTTTTGATCTGTAACACAAGCACTACTTAGGGTTAATTATTTCCCAGTATGTTGCAACACAAAACCCCAAAGCAAACAGGTAAAAGAGCAAAAATGCCATTCTGCCCATAAAGCAGTTTCCAAGCAGAGTTAAAGAGCACACATTGACTTGGAAAGGTGGATAAACCTTTTAACAGCACAGCTTAAAAATAAAAGGCAATGCAAACAACTAGATACCTATTATCAAAAACCCATTTGGCAGCTCATTACGGTGTGTGAACACTTGTTGCTTTCACAAAGCTCTGCTTTTAATCATAGGGTCCTTTGAAAGTATTTTTAATCATAAAAGCAACACCTTCTGCCAGGTGGTTGGTGCAGTTTGGGTCAGGAAGATGGTGATGCTGAAGGGTGTAAGTGCACACACACAGTCAGCCACACCTGACTGAATGCCAATGGAATGAATCAATAAGGAGCTGCTGTGCAGAGATGTGTGCTCAGTTACTCAACGGGAACATCAGCTGCAGTGCTCTGCTCTGCACTGCAATGCTCAGATGCTGACTGGAAGCTATGTGGATGTTGTTTTTTAAGTTATGAAATGAATGGATTTGGGTGACGATGAAAGGCTGGCTTCTGGTTACGCCTTATGCTTTCTACAATCAACATGAGGTTTCACTTCTAATGAGAAAGCTATTCTAGCATCTTGGCAATGCATCTGCACGTCTTATATGAAGCAGAGACATCTGAAGCAATCCACGAGCTATGGCTCAGAGTCACAGTATCACCAAGGTTGGAAAAGGCCTCTAAAATCACCCAGACCAACCATCCACCTGTCACCAATATTGCCCACTACTCCACAGCCAGAAATTAAGGATATGTTCAAATCTACTCTCATTAAGTTTCAGGTTTATACAAAGCATCATTCCTCCTTCTGGCTGACGTGCTTTAGTCTAGTAGTGTCCATGGAACAACCACCCCAAAACAGAAAGGTAAATAGCAAGCAATCACAATGGCTGAGTATTTTAGCAAAGTGCACAGCTAATGCTAGTAACCTTGGATTAATAAATAATAGCTACAATGAACGTATAAAACTTTACAACATTACCATTGTGAGAACATCTCCTGATAATACAAACCTTCTCCTTCTCATACATGTGTGAGAGCAGCCAGGTCTGCCTCGTCTTTTGAAACTTCCATTCCTTTGGGTTTTCAGACCAGCTGCAATACATTAAAAAAGAAATAAAAAGCTTAAAATATCTCGTGATCAGAATATTTACTGTTCACACACTATTTCCTACAGGGATTCTAAGTAACTTTGCATGCTTGACGTTGTGTCGATGCATAACGTTGTGTTGGTGGGATATTAGCACGTGTTTTTCTACAAGTGGCAAAACAAGGCTGGATGGCTTTTGTGCAAGAAGTGAAAAGCTCATAGGAAGAGACCATGGCCAAGGGAGAGACCACGGCCAAGAATGTGAAGTATTTCCATCAGAAAGCACTGATTCCTGAGGTCAGAAATGAAGGCCCTCCTCCTCTCCGAGCTGTGAGCGCCATGAGCCCAGCACGGCCGAACTGCTGAGCACAGCTGAGTGCAAAGAACACATTTCTCAGTACGCTGCAAGGCTTTGCATAACCGTGTGAGCAAAGTGCTGAAGTTCACGGGGCAGAAAATGCTTTGCTCCTCACTCCCCCCAGGAATTCTGATTTCATTCTTAGTCCCCAGATATCAGCCTGCATCCATGCTGCTGAAAGTGGGAAACGAATGATTCACATCTGTAAAAGTTCTTTGTTTAGCAATCGAATTTCTAATAGGCAAGATTCTAGCTGGGTTAAAATGGCAATTCTATGCAGAACTTAAATACAATTTTGCAACTGGTGTATTCTGCTTCAGGTGAAGAAAGAGACATTTGGTTCACATATCCAGCTAGAAAACAAATATTGATTTTCAAAGCACGTGCCTGAAAGTCAGCACCTTATTCTGTACAACATTTGTTAATGCACTGAAATATCACTGAAAAATCCAGCAGAAAACACACAGAGAAAACACAAAATTTTATACTTGATTTTTCTCTAAGGAAAGACAAGTCCCCAGAGGGAAGCTTGCAAGATGTCTTTAATGCTTCAGTTTGTTTTACACAGCGACAGAGAGCACAGAATCAATTGAAAAGCCAGCTGGGTATGAGAATTAGCATTGTTTAAACACTGTCAAGTCTAATAAAGCAAAAGAGCCTTCATATTTGGGGAATGCTGCACCAGCAAACGCATTGTTCAGCCCATCCAATGGAACAGAAAAAAACAAGACCACAAGTCTGGGAGCCTCCACAGAACTCCGTGCCCCATCCAAGTGCTTTCCTGACTCAGAAATTCAGCTCAAAGAAAAACTGGCAACAGCTCATTAGGGTAATCACGAGCTAAATCCCAAGCCCAAATACAAGCTAAATCATGAGGCAAATGACAGCAAGCCGAAAAAGGACAAACATAACATCAGTGACTACAGCATAAGATATTTTACAGGATCAGAATCAATGCCACAAATGAAGCATGGGAACAGCTTACGTGACAACCTTTGCAAGGTGGCAAGAGCAAGCTGAACATCAGAGCTGCCTGCAAAGCAGCCCCTCTTCTAAGGACAACCTTTATTCAAGGCACTGTACACTGGTGATTTACATTGGTTGGTTAAATACACTGCCTAACCCTCCAAGTATTTCATCCTCTGCTGATTTTATGTTTCTATTCCTTATGCTATCACCAGAGTGCTAACAGGCACTAGCTTGAAAAACACAGCCTCATTTCCCTAATCTCCTATAAAGCTATATGATGTTACAATATCTTTATTATCCACTTTATAAACAACTGGGACTTACAAATGAGTGCACTGTGAGGTTAATTGCTCTTATTAGCCCATTACTGAAACCATATGCTCTCTTCCACACATTGAGGCAGCCATCACTCTGCTGCACCCACAGCCACTTCCACTCCAGTGAGTTCTCTTGTAGAAATGAACACAAGTTTCACCCAGTCTTCTAGAAAGGCTTCTCTCTGATAATTAGTGATATACCCATGGTAATGAACATATAGTTTAACATGACTGACTGCAGAAACGATGCTTGTGCCCATCACAGCACCAGAGGCTCTCAAACCATTTCCCCCGGTTTGCACTTTGCCCAACTGGGATCAAAGGCTAAAAGAACATGGGAAGAAGTCGCATTTCCCTCGACAGATGATAGAAGCGTTCATGTTTTCTCAAACTGCCATCAGGTTTTTAACTGCTTCTCTCTCTTTGGCTTCATCAGTTCCTCTCTCTTGTCCCAGGAACTCGGCCCTTCTCCTGACCTGGTTTCCCCCCACACTGCAGCCAAATCCACCACAATGGATGTGCAATCAAGACAAATAATGTGGCAGTTGCTCCCTGCAAACCTCCCACGGTTATGAAAGTCTTTCACTGATTCCTATGACCACAGTGGCTTTTTCCCTATTCCTATGACAGCTTTAAAACCTATGGACAATGGCACTTGGTGACAATGTGAGCAGGACACCCCTTCTTATCACAATGACATAATTAGTGCATCCTTAGAAATGCTCAGCTTTCAAACCAAAGATCTTGGAGCTCTGTAATGCAGGAGAGGTCTCTTTTTGCTGTTTATATGCAGATAAGCTTTCCTGACATATTACAGCAGTAGAAAAAGATTTTCCCTGGAGTGATTAAATATACACAGTTATACTGTATTACACAACTACTTTACAGAAAAAAAAGCTTATTAGAGACAGTAACAATGTCTTTCACAGCTTTGAATTCATTTGGTGGCCTTTAGATATATCCAAGTCCAGATCTAATATAAGCTACAGAATTGGGCAGAAAACAGACATGTTTAAAACATGTATTTTTCCAGTGTGCCTAGGGCTAATTTCCAATATATTGTACAAACACTAATTGCCTTCTTTACACAGTTAATGTTTGAGTCTTTCTTATGAGCTCTATCTCATTGAAAAAACACATCAGCTGCCTTTAGTTAAAGGGAGCTTTCGTGTTTGTGCAAACGATCTTCCTAAATGGCTTTGAAATTGAAGATACAGAGGATATGAAACAAATGAATCAAGTTTCCAAAAGAGCTTTACATCTGAGTTTTTGGGGTTTTTTTAGCATCAGGGTGTTGTGTAGAAGAGCTGCCTGAAATTCCCATTGGTCTATCATACAAATGAGTTTCAGCCTATACATTAAAATCACACATGGTTGCACTGGGCCTTCCCAGACACTCGCTGCAGATGCAATCTGCCTTTAAAATGCTTAATCCCATCCCTTTCACCACTGTGACAGAAAAAGAGCATTTCTGAGTCTTGGCAGCTAAGCAGGAACACAGAAGACAGCTGGCAGCATGCAGGGCAGAGCGCTCCATGGGATGCTGTAGTACAGAAAGGGAAGGGAAAGCAGTCAGATTGGTTCCAGAAACACAGTCAGAGAAAAACATTATTGTTACCAATTGAATTCAGGAAGACGACAATGCATCTGCTTAGACTGCTGGCCAGGACAAAACACCAGGAAGCTGTCCCAGCACTTATATAATCTCTTATGTGGAGAAAAGTACTGTTTGAGAGCCATCCATTTCACTCATTCAGCTGAAAAGATCATTGGGTCAAAGACAAGTGTCAAGAAATCAAGAAGGAAAGACAGACACACGACAGCCCATAACCAGCAGACAGCAGGAGAGCACTGCTGCATGCCAAACACAAGGACACCTACACTCATCTGTGTCTGCTGCCTGAGATGGGCACACAGCCCCAGGCTCCACACTGCTCCACAGGCTGCACAAAGCAAAGTTCCTGCCCTCGGTGCAACAGGTGCTTCCTCAACCAAGAGCACCAGTACTGAAAAATTCCCTCAAAGACATTTAAAGCCGTGCTGCAGTACTTGGAGCTCTGATTTGCTCTGCTGTGTCACAGTGCAATACATACAGCAGCACTGACTTTAATGCACCGTGTGCTTACATCAAGGTCAGATAACTGCCCTTACAAGGCACGACTTTGGAAACTGCAGTCATTTCAGGTCAGTTCAATGCTACGTACAGGTGAGCACGGGAAGCTGGCACCTCACAGAGGCTCCCTGGGATTCCTGGAGCATCACAGGTGGAGCAGGAATTTGGCAGAGGTGTGGGAGAAGAGCCACTGCAAAGGTGGAGCTTTCATATGGATACATAAAATATATGTGGATGTGGGTGCAAGTTTTATATGTGCTCTCCAGTGCATACAGCAAATTAGGAATAATAACTTTTTGTCCAGTCATAACACGTGCAGTTATTTGAAGGGAAATGTTAAGGTGTTTATTTTTATCAGGGGTGTTCAGAATTTCTTTTCTTTCTCTCGGGGCATTTGAAACAACTGAGCGTTTAAAAAGGCAGGTTTCACATTTCTTTCATTGCCAGCACCAAACCCATGTACTGCACAGAGCAAAAGCTGCATCGACAGAAAGGGCTCCCAAGGACAGGGGCTGCTCCACAGCCCTGCGTGCCAAGAGAGCCAGCCTGCAGCATGGGGCAAGCCTGCATGCAAGGTGAGAGGAAATCCCATCTCAGCTGTCTGTGTGATGCTGATTGCCCTCGTTTCGAAGAAATATCCAAAATTTACATTCTAAATTGATTTTCAAAGGCTTAAGCAGAATGGCTGTAATTAAAATCTACGCACTCATCTTTGGCAGGACCCAAGTACAGATGTAAGTAAGAGTCACAGCCCTTATTTTCAATGTGTTTTTCTCACATCATGGATGATTCTGTTATGTCCCAACTCCCATTCCTGGAAAAGTTCATACATTTACAGTGAGCTCTGAAATACAGCATGGAAGCTAATTAACTTCAAACTTAGAAAAAGGTTTTACTCATTTTCCTGGAAAAGAAGAAGAGACATTAATGGATCTCTTCTGCCAGAAGAAACTGTTTTAAAATTGTCAACAGATTTTAGCAGCAGTGCCACATTTTTGGTAGAAAATCCTGGCACCATTTCTTAATCTGTGGTTTAAAAGCAGTTTTTAATGTATTTGTCCATCTGGGTTATAGGGAGCACAGTGACTACAGAACTGGGAAAGGGCAAGGGGAGAAAAAGGCCCTTTTTTTTTTTAGCTTTCAGTTTTAGTTTAGGTATCACATGAACAGAGGAAGGAAAGAAACATCCTTTTTAGTACCTCATTTTGGTTCTATTGTCTAATTTAAGGACAGATCGTATCTGCACAG